TGGATTTAGGTATTCGGTTTCTCGATTTAAGAATAGTTCATAAGATAAAAAACCCTGATAAAGTTATCTACTTTGCACATGGGATCTACTCTCGTCTGACAGTGAAGGTACACTTGATCATAATTTTTGAAAAATGTTAATTCCTCATTCCAAGTCAAGAATAACTTTGGCTGTGTTCTGGCTTTGTTATTTTAAGGAAGCGCTCACAGAAGTTGCTCACTGGTTAGGTCAGCACACCAAGGAAGTGGTCATTATTGCTCTTTCTGCCTTTGATGGCATGAATCTGGATCAACACAAAGACCTCATTCAATTCCTCATAAGCACATTCAACAATAAAATTTGTCCCAATCACGTAAGTAATTTCCATTTATTTTAAAACATTTGAAATTTTCAAGACATACCTTCAATCTTGATGTAGCCTATGTCTTGTCTTTTTTTTCCCTTATGTAACGTAAATGTAAACGTTACATAAAATTCAGAATGGTACACAACATTCTGGACAAAAATAGGTACTGTGTGACCACACATTAAGATTTCGTTCCCACGACTGATGACTTATTAATTCATGGTCACGTTTAAATAATTGATTTCCTTACTTTAGTTAAATTGTCACCACAATGTAGTAATTTGTGCCCTTGGTTTAATTTAGTAAAATCGTGACCACAATTTACATTAAACAATGGAACAAGTTCTTAATTCTTGGCCACAATATCTTTTTTTAATAATTTTTTATTAGACACTATACCTGCGTCTGAAATTGCATACTGTCTAGTAGGTACAGTGTTTGGTTTGAAAATGATTTCTTGACCGTTAAAAAAGTTTCTTCGATATAGTATGAAATTGAATATGGGTCATATGAATGAAATGTAGTCATATTCGGACGCAGCATATGTCTCAGTAATCTCTCTATTATTTTGTTATTTCAGATCATACCCTCACTACGGCAGTGTTGGAATCACAATTATCAGGTTATTCTGTCATATGATGACAGAGCTGCATCTGGATATGAGGAACTCTGGCCACAGTGTGAATATTGGTGGGCAAACACATCAGATCCAAGCCATGTCATATCCTACCTGGAGGAGAGGAAAACAGAAGGAAGACCAGGTCAGTAATGATTAGAAAACAAGACAGATAAAGTTTGATGACAAACTTTGATGTTGGCTTGACAAAGCCTTGTCTAAAATTTGAAACAACTTTGAAAGGCTTGAAGTTGGAAGATTTTTCTCAGA